ATACGTCCATCAATAAAAGTATATGGACAAGAATAAAATCCCATGCTAATATCAATAATTAATAACTTTCAAATTTGTATATATGAAATAATTATTTTTCGAATTAAACTCTTTGTAACAATATTTATATAAACAAATTCAAGATTACTACATATACTTTTTGTCAGATCAAACAACGCGCATATACAAACAATGCATATATACAAATCAATAAAATGGTTTGGTATTCGCATTCAAAATATAATTATTTATCAGATGAAAACTCAGAATATAATAGCGATTCTGGGGACGATTTGCCAAATCTAACAAGAGATAAGCAATGAGTCTTGTGAAAATATAAATATCTTAACTGCTCTGATTGCCCTAGAAAAGAATGCCTTTATGCCTTAGAAAATGTTCAACCTAAAGGATGGGTTATCCGGCAAGAGTTTCCTCATAGCTATAGATATTTTGATAACTTATCCGAGTTTGAAATATGGCATGAATCGATACCTAAAAACTAGCGTACATTTCATGAGGTTATTCGAATAGGACAGCCACAAAAAATTAAGATTGATATATGGATAGTGAATTGGAAAAATTTGCATCATATCCCGATCCTTTAGATAGAATAGAAAAGGCTTTAGGACAAAAATCATTTGATGGTTATATTGCTAATACACATCTTTATACATGGCAAAAATCTACAGATATAATGCATAAAAAGGATGAGATTAGTTTGTATATCAAGAATGCTCTCCGAATTGCCATAAAAGAGATAAGTAGATTGAATCTCTTAAAGAATGACATTATTATAGCTGATTCCTCGAATGAAATGAAATGGAGTAAACACTTGATATTACCTAGATATTTCGTTCGTAGTGCATCCAAAGCTCAAAAATTTACATTGCGAATCTTAGAACTTCTTCCAGAAAGAATGCATCCTTTTATTGATGAAAAAGTAAACAAGGATCTTCATTGCTTTCGACTAGCAGGAAGTCATAAAGCCAAAGACTCTTCACGCATTAAGCGCATATATTCAAATCATACTTGGAGAGAGTCACTTATCACTTATATTGAGAAAGATTCTATAGAACTCTGGCCATATGAATGGAAAGAAGATAAAAAGCTGAAAAATGAGTCTGTCTCACATGAGAAGAGTGATACTGCAATAAAAATAGTAGAAAAACAATTTTCTTTTTTGTCTTATCGAAATTCTAATAATGGCTTCGATATTTTTGATAAAATTTGGCCTACAACATGTTCAATCTGTGAAAAAGAGCACACGAGAGAAGGTATGTATGGTAGATGGCATGGATCGTATTATTTTCTTTATTGTTTTAGGCAAAAAAAGGGTGAATCCGGTATTGAAGTTGTTAAAGCAGATCATAATAAAAAAAAAGTTATTCCTTGTTTAGATAGATTAAGAGCTTGGCTTCAGCATAGATCACAGTCTCATTCACAAAATAACTTTACTGCTGTTGAAAAGAACATCGAAATATATAATGCTAAAACAATGCATAGCTATAATTTACAAGCTAAACTTACGAGTGGTAACTAGCACTTGGGCTTATTAAAAGACATTGTGGTGTTGGCAAATCAAATGAGATAGCAGAAGAAATAAGAACACTTTGTTATTCTGATGGATCTTCTGTTTCAACTCTCATCATATCTGGTCGGCATTCTCTTACTCATGGGCAAAAGGTTCTTTTCGAAGGATTTAAGTCTTACCTCAAGCTAGATGCAAAAAAACTTAATCCTAAAGATATCCCTAAACTCATTATCAGTTCGGAAAGCATTCACAAACTTGGAGCAACTGGCTATGATGTGATTATACTAGATAAGTTTGAAACAATCACTCAAAATTTTAGTGGACCTACCATGAAAAAACCAAAGCTAAGTCATGATGTATATAAATCCTTGCTTCAATCTGCATTATTAATATTAGCTTTAGATGCTATATTAGATTCAGACTCGCTTGTATATTTACAAACTATTTCGAAAATAGATGCCGAAAATTCAACCATGATATAGAACCAGCATATACGAAATAAATGTCATGCTCTTATACATATTAATACCAAAAAATGGAATGTTGAATTAATTGGAGCTTTGAGACAAGGATTAAAAGTCTATATTCCAATGTTTGCTAGTGCGGAAATGGCAGAGGCCCTTCATAAGGAATTAGAATCTCAAGGATATCAAGGCAAGTGTTTTTCCAAACGACTATTAGAAACTGAGAAAAAAGAAATATTTGCCGATATCAATAATGCAGTAGCAAATCTTGACTATTTGATAGCAACTCCTGTGATGACTTGTGGAGTAAGTATAATAGTCGAAAACTTCGATATGATGTTTGCACACTTCCGCACATTAGCTAATCTGACAAGCAATGAAGCATATCAGATGTTGCACCGTGTTCGAAAGCTAAATCAAAATATAGTACACATTCTAACAGATTTACGTAGCGATAATTTGCCAACAGACCGTGAGGATTTACTTTGTTTTATCAGCTATCGATGTAATATCGCAGAGTATCCTGATCTAGAAGAGGCTTATTGTGATAAGATATTTACTCCGGATAGCAGATGGATTTTTAAGCCAAATGCTTCTTTAGAAACTCATCTTTATAATGTATCTCGTCACAATGCATCTAGAAATGATTTTGTTAGTTTACTGACTGATCGTCTTAGCGAATGTGGTTATAATATTAATATTGCCAAAGACTGCCCTTCTATCGACTCAAAACTTACAGAAAATAATAAAAGCAAAGAATTACTTTTACAGGTATGTTCAATCAAAAAAACTCTGGATACAGAAAAATATTCAATGATCGCTAATGCTCAGGTTTTGAGTAATATAGAAGCTTTGGATATTTGAGAATGTTTAGAAAGAGAAGAAAATATAAACCCAGCCTATAGACTTGCTTTGCAGAAATACAATCTCGCATCTTTTTATAAAAAGACCCCTGAAGATATAACTAAAGATTTTGTAGAAAAATATTCCCAAAAAGAGATGCGAAATGCATATAGTGCATTAGTTCAAGCTGTGAACTCTCTTGATGACTTGCGTGAGAATTATAGATTTATGGTTATTGGAGACTCACGAGAGAAGGCTTCTTGCAATTCATTATTGCCAAAAGTTATTGCTTTAGAGGAGATTTTACGAGGAATAGGCTTTTCTTCGGGTATTCATACATCTTATACTTTATCACGTCAAGATTTTGATACTAATTTACCAAACTTCCTACCAATTTATAAGAAAAATGAGCGTCGTTACTATGCAATATTTGGGAAAAAATAGAGACCGCACGCTAACTATAATCTAAAGTATTTTATAGAATTTCTTCTCAAACCACTAAAGGAATTTAAAGTATTATTTTACCGAGAAAAAGATCGTAGAAATCAACTTATACACTTAAAACTTAAAATAGATAGAAATCTAAAAATGATTCTTCCCGATGCTTGTTTAAGCGATAATGTAATCGCAGATCCCCCAAAATCAGATCTCAATTCTTCTCAAGATATATGCCATGTCGTCGATAACACTATTGGTGAAGTTAGCACAACGGAGAAAAATATACCTAAACCTTTGATTTCTTTATCTTCAGAGTTTCTTATTAAAAATGAATCTGATATTGATACCCTTATCCTTCTTTTACAGCAGAAATTTCAAATATTGAAAGAAAAATTAGAGCAATGGCGAACCGAGATTGCCTTTGAAATGCGGAATAATCATAATTATTAGAAAAAAGAGCACGAGAGTATGGACGAAATCGCTTTTCTAGAATACAAGCGAAATTTTGAGGCTAAAATGAAAGTTCCTACTACTCCGTACAAAAAAGAGTTGAAAAATAAATCTTTAGCAATCATTGAATATATATAATTGTTATTTTAAAATAACGTGATCAGAATACTCTGGCTAGGAGTATATCTAGCTATATATTTTGGATAAGGAGATTTTTGTCACCTCTTACAATTAATATAAGAAAAAATTCAAATAAAAAATTAATATTCCGATACTTGGATCATTTTTGTGTCGTGTGATTTAAGATGACAACCTGTGCTAGGCATTTTATACAAAAGGGTTTTTGTATTATATAATTTTAATCGAGATGCATAACAAGACAGTAAAAATATAGGTATAATAGATCAGCAATTTGCACAGATATGGCTAAATTTTTGGAACAGTGACCTGCGGTATAATAGAACAGCAATCCACACAAGTACGGCTAAATTTTTGGGATGGCAAGATTATATTTTGGTTATATGATTTAGGACAACAAGGTTGCATTTTAATTATATATTTTTTGGGTTAGCAAGATTACATATTAATTATATATTTAGTAACATATGTTAGAACAGTACTGGCTATACAAGAAAGAATTCTAGAATATAAAATTATATTACGGTTAATTTTTAGAACAGCAAGGTTACATATTTTTTTCATTATCTGGGAAGTAGTTTAAACAAGTCAAAAGTAATAAAATTGCTGTAACCTTGCTGTCCCAACCGTATTAAGATTTTTTTTATATCCATATTCATTATACTATATCATCTATATTCAATATTATATCCTCATGTCAAATAAAAATGGAAAACAGATATATTTATTACAATGCTTTGAGTATTACTAAGTGAGGATAGCAATTCAGCACTACATGTCTCATCATTGGGTGATTATTCGAATGAATTATGCGAAGCTAACAATTTGGCACTACGTGCCTTATCCTCGATCGATATTTGAGTGTATCATATAAAGCTAGAATACAAATACTATTTCGGCATAACCAGATAGCATAACTTGATAGCATAACCGGATAGCAATTATATAATATAGGTTGCATACATATTTGATAGCATATCCAGATAATATATTTGCAATATACCTGATAGCAATTATGTGACATAGCATAATCTGATAGCATGTGTA